AACAGTTGTCCATTACAGGCCATGAAACGTTTGGCGCTTCGGCGGTTGAGCCGACGTCGACGAACATCCACTTCCCTCATATCAATACCCGCGAGGTACCTTGAAATGTCAATAAGATGGAGTTCCCACTCCATTTGCGCCTCTAGAGGATCCGAAACACTGCAGACAAGATCTCCCTCGTCGTCAGAGTCGACTCCATCCTCGCCCTTGGCTTTCAGGCGGGACAGGAAGTCAGCTGCACCGTTCTTTCCTCCCGGGCGGTACTTAATTTCGAATTCGTATTCTGCTAGGAAGTCCATCCACCTTGCCAACCTCCCGTGAATGTCTCTCTTCTTAAAGGTATACTTCAGGGCTTGGTGATATGTTATTAGCGTGAAGTTCTGTGTTGAAAGCAGGTAAACTTATAACTTCTTCAAAGCGAAGATCACAGCCAGGGCCTCTCGCTCACAGGCGGAATACTTCCTCTCGGCTGACGTCATCGTGCGACTTGCGTACTGGATCGGGTGGACTTTTCTGTCCTCTTTTCGTTGGGCCATAACAGCTCCGACTGCGACCGAGGATGCATCAGTCTCCAAGACAAAAGGTTGTTCGAAGTCCGGAAACGCCAAGACTGGCGGGGAGTTCAACTTGAGCTTAAGCTTCTCGAATGCCTCCTGTATCTCCACCGTCCACTTAAAAGTCCGTTTAGTAGACGTGGCCTCATGTAACGGAGCAGAGATCTCGGCGAACTTAGGTATGAGGCGGCGGTAGTATCCCGCCAGACCAAGGAAGCTACAAAGCCCTGTGGCATTGGACGGCTCCTTCTCCCTCTTAGTGGCGCTGACCTTCTCGGGGTCCACTTTGACGCCATCTCCGGTGACTACGTGTCCAAGCAGTCGCGTTTGGGACTGTGCGAAGCTGCATTTTGAGATCTTAAGCTTCAGCCCGCTCGTAGCAATCACCTTGAAGACTTCACGTAAGTGTGAAGTGTGCTCTTCAACGGACGTCGAGAAGACGACTACGTCGTCTAAGTAAACTCTCACGAAGCTAAGCCTTGGAAAAGCTGGTTCATCATCCTTTGGAATGTAGAGGGGGCGTTCATAAACCCGAACGGAATCACCTCGAACTGAAATGTCCCAAAACGGCAGACGAAAGTCGTCTTCTCTTTGCAGTTCTCAGCCATCCGGACTTGCTAATACCCCGAGAACAAGTCAAGCGTTGTGAAGACCGAGCTCCCCTCTAAATCATCGAAGATCTCCTCGAGCTTTGGCAAGGGCCAACGATCGGCTTTCATTTTGCGATTGAGGGTGCGGTAATCTACACAAAACCTGGATTTTCTGTCTTTCTTCGATGCGATAACGATAGGAAAGGACCAGGCCGAAATGGCGGGGGTTGTTATTCCCGCCTCCAACATCTTACGAAGCTCCTCACGTACCACTTCATTGTGGCGTGGCGGAAGCGTACGTGGAGCGTGCGTAATGGGGCTTGGATCTTCTAGCTCAAATGAGTGAGACACCGGAACATCTGCCGGTCTTAAATCGTCGAGTGACCAAGCTAATATCCCTGAGTTCTGGATAGAATTCAGAATGCTTTCCCTGGCTTCGAAAGCCAGGTGGCGCAATTTCTTTCGGAGAAGGGCTACTTGAAGCCGTTCCGGGCCTTCTTCGTCTACTCTGCCATCTCCTTTCGCGTTTTCCGAGTCGGACTTTAGGCCCTCTTTCACTAGATCAGGAAGACCATCCAATTCATCTTCGACTCCATCCGGTAGCTTGGTGAGTCCCAAATCAGGTTCAAATGGTTGCTGGTCAAGAGTCGCCAAGACAAATTCATTGTCGCTTGTCGTAGACGAGCCAGGTACAGCCTCAGAGTCGGAGGTGAAATCCTCACTATCAGTTGAGGCTGCACTCCGTGAAAAGTGTTCCACATCCATGTTGAGGCCTAGTCTGGTGGTATCATCACCTAATGTCATCTGCACATGTTGATTACCAAGATCGATGCATGCCTGTAGTCCCTCAAGGGTCGGAAGCCCTATGATCAGGTCGAACGGCGATCCTTTCACGACTAGGAAGTCCAACTTCACGACAAGTTCACCAGACGATGTTGGTATCTGATGAAGCCATCCCAGGCAGGGCGCATTGGCACCATTTGCCACCATGATATGCTTCTCAGTCGGTTGTGGGGAGAGGCAAAGCTTAGACGCCAACTTTGGCGAGATTATGTTTGGTACGGCCCCAGAATCTAACAGGCCTTGAGCTTCCGTCCCATAAACCTTCACAGTTACCAGCCGCAGCCTTCGAGACTTTGTATCGGCGTGACCTGCGAAAGCACGACCACGGACTCTTTATTTCGCAAACAAGCGGCCTATCTTCTTCTTCGCCACTTCCGCATTGCCGCGAACAAGCTCTCCGAAAGTGAGCCCGGAAGATGCGTTTGAAAGCTCCGAAACGACATTATACTTCCTCACATACTCCTGGAGGGATGTTTTTCTGGTCACTTTCTTCGCTTTCTTCCTCTGGTGGGACCTCCTTGGCCCCGCCTGAAGTGGTAGAGCCCTCTTTTGCATCTCGAATGGTACAGGCGGGTTCAGAAGCCTCGGAATGGACATCTCCTCCCGCATTTTGTGCTGCTTGGGAAGAGGTTCCCCGTCTGCGTTTCTCTTAGTGACGGCCATGACTTCTCCGTCGTTCGCCTCGTCAATATAGGTGACCTGGGCATTCCCTGCACCTTCTATCGCAGGTGCTGTGGACTGAGTCGTGGCTCCTGCCCTCGGCAGTGCCGTTCTAAGCCTGGTCCAGCACGTCTCCTTTTCATGACCAAGCTTCTCACAATTCGAACAACGAGTGTCTCGGCGCAGATTAGAAGGGCATCGGCTGGCTCCACGCCCCGGTTCCCTGCAGAATGAGCAGGTTCGGACCTGGATACCTTGATCTGCTGTCTGATTCTTCTTTACCAACAAAGAAAGTTTTGCTAGCCGTTCTGCTAGCACGTCCACTTTCTTTTCGATCTTGTCCGGTTCCTGACGTCTTTCCGGTCTCTGTAGAATGCGCTTAGGCGCCGGAGGCTGAGGTTGCCTAGCATTGTGTGCAGCCATAAAGGTTTTGCGGCCAGACACGAAGTCCTTAACGGCCTTCTTCAGCGCCCCGTACGAGGTAGGTGCCCCATACAAGACGAATTGTGACACGTCGGTGTGCTCCATGACTGCATTCCGGAGTAGTCCGAACTTGGCTTCAGGGTTGAACGCTGCTTTATTGAAGCGGCAATCCATCACGTTTAACGACGCGAGCACGTCGTTGCCGTCCAACCTACTCGCGACTGCGAGCCTGATGTTTTCTTCCGGTTCAGGGACTGACTCGAAACGGTCGAGCAATGCCTTCTTGACGGCTTGGTAGTCGCTGGCCGCCTCGTTCAGTCTACCGTCTTGGCTGTACGTGTCATAGTAGAAGTCGAATGCCTCCCCTTGCAGGTAGCACAGTAGCTCTCCGGCTTTGTCTTCGTCGGACTTGCCTTTCATTACGACGTTTTCGTAGACAAAGAAGAACTTGGCGACATCCGCCTCGTGCTTACCATCGAACACTAGGGAAGCGGGACCCGCCTGACTGTTGGCGTCGGCACTCCACAAGAGTACCATGTTGGGGCGAAAACGGGGTACGTCGTCCCGTGTCTTACCCGTGTGTGTTTTTTTGTGATGTCTCTGCCCTCGGCGGTGCAGGAAGACCGAAAAACACCGCATTTATACTCTTTTTGCGTACGGTCTACAATTACAAACTTAAACTTCCAATTACTTACACCAGTCCCAACCACGTATCACAGACTTCGCGAAAACAACCACGCACACAGAAGAGGAGTGAGATTGAGAAGCGCTGTCGCGCGTGGAGACTGCTGCACCCCAACCGAGCACGGAAGATCGGACTTCCAATCAAATTGAAAAAAAGAAAAGTCCTCCTGTTTTGGATGCTGGGGTTGTTGCGTCTGTATACACTTGTGTATGCGGGTGAAACTGTCCAGGGAGTATCGAGTGACATGCCGACACCTGGCATTCGACCGAGCGTGCATTGTCCTACATATCGCCGACGGCCGGGTGAGAGTCTCATGACTTCTCGGCTATGTCTATTTCTCTTTTGCCCACCCATCCCCGTCAGGACGCCCTTCCCTGTTCTTTCCTCACATGTCTATTCTCTGATATTGTTCTTTCTTTGTTTAATTTTCGATAGATAGTCAAGAGTACTCTCGCTACCGCTGATATCTTGGGTGCGTGAGAGCTCCAACCGTAAACGACCATCTATCTTCACGCGTCAATGTACACTGTGTGTATAGGGGAAACTCCACGGGAAATAGCACGCGTTTGTAAGCACTTACTGACAGCCGGGCGTCTCGCTGTACCCGCCTCGCCGCCGACCCATAAGTAGTAGAAGCGAGCTGTTCTATCCCGCTACCTCTCCTCCCTATGTCTGTTTCTCTCCCACCCATCCCCGGCACTGCCGCCCTCGTGTCGTGTCTCCTTTTTCATCATGTCTTTTTCTCTTTCTTTGTTTTCCTTTTGATTCTTTCGTCCTTTTTAATGTTTGATTCGTCCTGTTCTACTGTAGCGCTACTGTAGCATGTTGGATCCTGTTTAGCTGATGTCCCACTGACCATTCAACCATCGTAAAACTACGAATAGTTTCACTTCTATACGTAGAAAGCCGTGAGCAATCGATTGAGATATTTTTTATTTAATTTCAACCACGTCGTTCTGAGATACGGCGCATTGTCTGGCGCCGTTACGCGGCAGCGCTGCACCCTGGCCCGTGTCAGAGATGTTTTTTCGAAATCTTTTGCATGTCCGATTTTTTTGTCACTGTCCGACAACATCGGCACCCCCCCCCCTTTACTGCTGATGCAAGCGGATCGGCGCTCGAAAACGGGCTGCACTTGCTTTCCATGATACACGATACCCTTCGAAGGGTACGAGAAAATGGTTTGAAAGTTATTCTTCACAGCACGATGCAGTTCGATGGCGAGGAAGGCAGTCCTTCCTGGTACAGTCGACCCTACGCATTAGTGCCGCCCTGTGTAAGGACTAATAATACGGCACTAATTCGGAGCGGCACAATCAGAAAGCAGAATCACTACCCGGCCAGAACTCTGTTGTTAGAGTCTGCTGTTGTTGCCTTTGACCCTGTCTCTCATGCCTAGTGTCTAGGTGACAAATGACCTCATATGAGGCCATTTGACCTCATATGAGGTCACTTTTCAACTTATTTTTTCTCTACTTGCGCTAGCCCAACAAGATGGAAAAAGATACTCTCGCCACCGCAGTTCACTTCTTCGTTGCGGAAGGGCGGAGTTTGGTGAGATCTGCACCTCTTTTCCAGCCATTTTTAAAATTCCCAAAAAAGGAGCCTTTTTGACCAACCTCAAAACGTTTTATGTTGATTTCTTCGAAACCAAAACGCCTGTTTAAAAAGCCAACTCATCATGGAAACTTCATTTGATTCTTAGTCTCTCTGTGCATTGGAAACTGTCATCCCAATGTTTTGCAAGATGTTAATGCCGAGGGCAAATACGTTAAAGAAATGGTGTCCAAACTGACTTTTTAAAGTTTCGATTTAATTTATATATTTTTTGCAAAAAAAACTGGCCTCATATGAGGTCAAATCTCTCGTCTAGACACTAGCTTCTAGAAAAGCTCGTTTTGCGGACCTCAAGTGCGATAAGGCATTGCTCACATCGCACTCCACACCCAGACTCTCCAAAGACCCAAACAACCTTGCTAGCACTACAGCACTCGGTACGGCCCGCCTCTCTGTAATTTCACACTCGTCTTCTGCCACACAATCATCCATCATAGCATCACTGGCAGACTGATTCTGTAGCTCTCCGCCATAATGTATTGAATCGCAAGCATCACTAATAGAAGCTTCTGCCACAAGCTCATTAGTCTCGATCTCAATCCATTCCTCCACATCTTTCCTGCAGAATTCTGCAGTTTCTGCAAGGCCGTCTTCTGGCACCAGGCTCAGTCGGGAGAGAAACCCTACTATACCATCCACCATAGATTTATCAATTTCTGTTTCATTTCGACCAACTATCCGACCTGCAGCAGATGCCCAACCTCGATTTTCTGTGCAATCGTAAGGCGCGTGCGCTTCGCTTTGGCGATCTTTTCAGGATTCATGTTAGGGTCTTTGAGTGAGGTGCCATCACTTCACCAATAGAGCTGAGGCGCATGAGGAGTGGCCGATGACGACGTCGTGCAGGACACGTGGCAGAACCTGTGTCTGCCGGTTTTGGCGGCACTAATTCGAGGGTGGCAATAATGAAAGCGGCACTATTGCGCGTCCCCCCCCTGTATCAAGTATCCGCCTAAGGCAGCACTATTCCTCCCTGCTCTGAAGAGAATGAGCCCGTTGACCAGTTGCTGAGCAACCCCTGCGATTGATCTCTCTAAGAGTCCTCGCTTCGAATCGGCATTGCGTCTGGTTTGCTGTGGGTATGACGTGACAACGTGTCGGAACCCCAGGTGTGAAGGCATTGTCTCGTATCCAAACTCCCTTCGATTCGGCGTTGCGTCTTGACTGGTGTGTTTGTATTGCAGACCCTGTGCTGAGACCCCCAAGAATGGGGTGCATATCGCGTATGACCCAAAAAATATACATCTACAACCAGGGAGAACGCGCCCAAGAATAGTGCCAATGCAATTATCTCTCGCGTACCGGACCACATAGCGGATCTGGTACAGTACACCCATCTCCAGAGAATGTAAACCTCCAGGAGGACAGCGTGAGTATTGTTTGTGGGCCCGTGTGAAAAACAAAAACAAAAGGCTGCTTGCTATTCGAAGAAATCAGGCGATGAATTGATCTAGGCAGATCACGCAATATGGAAGCAGTGCAGTACTGCCGTGCCTATGCTGTAGGCTACAGCATGGGCACGGCAGTTTTAGGAAGTTGCATCCAAGCAACTTCCCAAAACGCGTATAAAACCGTTGCGCTAGAGAAGCGAAATCTCCCCACTCATCCCTCTTCCCTGCAACAGCATATCATCTCCAACAGCAAACCGTTTCTCACTTCAGCAAATTCTTTCCCTCTGCACTATGAAGTTCTCTCTCGCCATCTGCCTCCTTGTCTGTCTTCTGGCCGTAGTTGCGGCTGTTCCGGCGAAGCCTCGCCTTCCCAAGCTTGGAGAGGCTATCCGCCAGGACGATGAAGACTTCTTTCGGTGTAAGTGTTCTATCATCCAGGAAATGTTTTTGGGGGACAAGGGAAATCTGCAACTCACACCAGAAACTCGCGACTTTGTGCCCGCTGCCTCGTCTTGAATTTGTTTCACTTCTTGTTCTTTGCTTTCATTAGGTTATGATAACGTGCGCCAGGGATACGAATTCTGCTGTTTTGAGGGGTGGCCCCCGGGCTTCCCTCCCTGCGAAGCCATAGACATATCGTTTTAGGTCTACTCTCGTCATCTCGGAAGTTGCCGCTGACCTCTTCCTTTCTTAAGTTTCTTTGAAAAGCATTTAGTCACCCGACATTACGCAGCGCACGAACCAGAGAGATCTCGTAAACAAAATTAGAATTTGCGGCCGTTGTGCCCACCTCCCTTTCTGAGATTCATTCGTACACGCCACTCAGTGGAGTAGTGCTCTTGATGCATTGTCGTTCAGACTTGGTGCAATATGGACACATGCTGGTGCAACAGCTCTTGCGAAAGTTTCTCAGTAGACACATTTCCATGTTTGCCACTAGAGTGCTGAGAGAACAGTGCCTGTCGACATGTAGTATTCATCAGTATGCATATGCCTCCACGACTTGTAGAGGATTGGATCCTAAGTTGCAAACGGTCCTGAACGAGGAGAGCACTAGTGTCAGGTGGCACCGACATTCTGTGAAGCGATGTATCCCCGTGTAGTCCTCTGATCTCTTTCTACCAGCCAAACGTAGTGTAAGCGGTGGTCGGAGCCTTTAGTTAGGGTCCTGCGCTGTTCTCTAAACCATTGAGGCAGTGGCACGTGGACAATGTCCCGGCGATGCCTTCACACTGTCCGCAGAAATGCTTCTCTCTGGCTGTTTCCGCTCTAGTTACTCCAGCACCCCATTTGCATGCAAATTTTGCTTATCTTGACTTCCATCTCGGCTTTCCCTCTCCCCGCCCAACCCCCTCTCCAGCGCTCCCCATCATCTGCCACCATGACCTCCCCAACCCCAGCCTTTCTGCCCGTTCCCAGTTTACCCCTCCTCCGCCCTCTTCGCCCTCTTCGCCCTCTTTGCCCTCTTCGCCGCGTCCGATCCCACGTAACCGCCTGCACCCCCTCCACTACCCCGCTCTCTCGCGCCTTGTCCCAGATCCACTCCTACCGCAACGCTTCCGAACCCACTCCCGACTCTCGCGCCTTCGCCATCCGCCTCATCAACGACGTCGCCACCTCTCCCCTGACTTCTGAACAGCCCCCCACTTCCCCCAATTTCAGCTCCCTCTTTCAAGCTCTTCGCTCCGCTTCCCTTCTCACCGCCTTCTCCGCCTACCGCCCCAAAGCCGGTGACCCACCTTCCCTCCGCAAAGCAGTCTCCCCTGACCGCCTCGCCGCCCAGGCAGGTCTTCCCATCTCCGCCCTCTCGCCAAAGCGCTCCACCCTCATTGCATGGCAGGCTGCCGGTGTCGTCGCCGTCGTCGCCGTCGTCCAGCTCTCGCGTCTCTTGGCGCTCGAGCATCTCGCGAAACCAGCCGTGCTCGCTGCTGGCGCTTTTCTGCTCACGGACCAGCTTGCGCTTCGTGGTGCCACTTTCGAAGCTGTGTATAGAACCCTTTTCCCGGCATACGCGGAAAAGGTCCTCAAGCATGAGGCCGGCCATTTTCTAGCCGCATATCTGCACGGACTCGCGGTGCGAGGGTACGTCCTTTCGGCCGGAGAAGCGCTGCGTGCGGGCATTCCAGGGCAAGCAGGGACTCTATTCGAGGATGAGGGCTTGTACGAGGAGCTGAGGAGCGGAATTTTGAGCGGCCGCGCTATTGACAGATTCAGCATTGTCAGCATGGCGGGTATTGCGGCAGAGGCGATTCATTACGGAGAGGCAGAGGGAGGGGAGAGTGATGTGGCCTCACTGATACGCATGCTGACCAGTTTGAATCCACCCTGGAAGGTACGGGCTGTAAAGGATCAGGCAAGGTGGGCTGTGTTGGAAGCTGTGCTGTTATTGCGACAAAATGTGAAGGCCTTTGACGCGTTATGCGAGGCAATGAGAGAAAGAAAGAGTCTGGGGGAGTGTATTTTGGTGATCGAAGAAAACTTTGTCCCACTGAAACTGGAAGGGGTGGAGAAGGGAGATGAAAGCGAGAAGGAAGTAGACTTGGGAACAGTGGGAGACGATAAGGCGTCGCAAGAAGAGTTCAATAAGAGGGAAAGGGCAATTGTTGCGGAGCTTGAGCGAATTAAGCAACAAGTCGAAAGTATGGAAAAGGAGTAACCATGCCGTGTTCTCATGCATGCGGATTGATTTGGATTCTGAGGAAAGCGCAATAGGCTGTGCCTGAGGTCAAGCCCAAGTCTCGTCCATTTTTTTTTTTTTTTTGTTTCTTCTAAGAAGGCCACTTTTCTATTTATTTGAGTTGCAGGCATGGGTTCAGTGCCAAACTGCAGGCAGTGCGCATACCGCACGTGACTCCGTTTGAGGGAATGCCTTTGTTCATAACGTCAGCAGTCTGTGTAGTTGCTGAAATGGGTCATTTGGCCGCGACATTATCATCTCAAACATACGAGGTTCCATTGCGGAGGCCCCACAGTTGACAGCGAGCTCTTATCACCAGCTCAGCTTCCAATGCTGACAGTCTCACTTGATACCAGGTGGGGCTTTGTGAATACACCTTTGAACAGATAGGAGAGAAGAAATGCGAGGACGATTTATTTTTGCGGCCAATCATCGTTTTAGAATGAGAATCTCGGATACAAAGACAGCGGTTTGTCCAAGCCCGATAGACAAAGATTATGCTTCCCTAACCTTTACAAGAAGGGTTTTTTTTCGGTGGTGCTAGAACGCGTTGACCGTTTCTGGCCACAATACTGCCCTGGAAAAGAAGCGTCACGGTAGTGTTTCCGAAGGAGGAGCGCTAGAACTGGGATCTTGTCCAGCCGGAAGAGACCACGAATGGATCTATCGCTATGCACACGTGATATACATCGCCGCCCATTATCTCTTGACACCGATCTTCTCTCAGCGACCTAAAGCTTTACAGCTCCCGTTCTTCGTCCGCTTCTTCACAATTCTACCGCTGCACTCATTAAAGGATTTCCGTTCCTATTAATCACTACTACACTAAGCGCCTTTCTCCAAGATAAAACGTCGCACAGTCTTCAAACTACTGTACTCTCAATCTCGTCACTGAGCGTGCCTTTATGCCTAGTTTTTCCTCAACCTTCATCTCCCTCTTGCATACATGCCCTGCCCCATGTCTGTCTGCCAGCCACTCACAGTCTATTCCCTCTCCTCCGACGTGTATCCTCCTTCTGCAGGGCTTCTAGTGTCTTCGGGCGGCATGTACTTCCATGTTGGATTTCTGCCTAGTGAGCTCTATAGTTACACGCTGGTGGAGGCTCCGCTTGCCCATAGTTCTCGCTGCTGTAGAGTTTTTGCATGTCGTCTCTCTGCCACATGTAAGGAAGCATGTCCCTGGAGGATTCATACACGTGGTGGAACTGCGATCTGCCGGCGTGAAAAGATATCTTCCACTGTTTGTTGTTAAAAGGCTATGCAATGCCACATTCTTCGCGGACATGGGGAGATGCTTTTCGCAAGGAGAGCAATTTGACGTATGTACAGTAGCAGGATGTGTTGAAAGAATTTGTGTGTGTGCGGTTGGCAGACATCCGCCAAAAAGGCGCTGACTGACGTCCTTGCAGTCTGCCGTCATTATAGTCTGTCGTCAGTCGGGAGGGGGGAGGCCCAGTGGCGTTTTCGAGGCCCCGTGAGTCTCTTTGAACGCATGCCATTCAACTCAACCCCGCACTCTAGTCACTTGACATTATGCCTCGGGGGACAGCAAAGCCGCAAATGCTTCTAGAGAGAAACCCAAGAAGTCACTTCATGCTACCTTTTGCTGTGTGCTTTTCGCTGATTCTATTTCTTGTAGATCTCCAACTATCACCCCCAGAGAATCATCACATGATGATAAGGAGACCAACATAGGTATTCCTTGCCATTCACAAGCGCCATTTATGTCAATACGCTTTGGTTGCAGATATCAGGGAAGCGAAAGTTAAAAGACGAAGTCCACATGGTACTGCCCGCATTCAGTCTCACTTCTTTCCCTCTTTACGCAGCAAGAAGTATCTGCTAGTATCTAGATGACAAGTGACCTCATATGGAGTTGCTTTTCAACTAACTTTTATGGACTTATTCTTTTTCGATGAGAATGAGAACGATACCCTCGCCACCGCATTTGACTTGTGCGTTGCGGAAATATACATATTTTCGTGAGAAATGTATGTGCCTTCCTGTCGTTTTAGAAATGCCTAGCATAGAAGCTTTTTTAAGCCACCTTGAAACATTGTGGCACGATGGACCATCATGCCTATGATGGTAGCCGTTTTAGGAAGCTACCATTTAGAGTATTGAAGCTTGTCACTGTCCATTTAAGACTAACTCCCGAGGTAAACAAGGGGGCAGAGAACTCGTATCCCTCAAGCACAGAAGCTACAGTGATCACTTTGCCTTGACAGCAGGCCGTCTGCCTGGCTGCACTGCATTTTTCTTTCACCATGGCTGATCGCCCGAATGGCGGCCAGCCCCTCTTCACCCCGTACCACCCCCACTGTAATGGTACTGTTGAAGCCATGTGCAAAGAAGTTTTACGTGCTACTCGGGCCTTGTTATCTGAGTTTCGTCTCAAGCCCACTGAATGGACCGCTGTCACTGGACTTGTGCAGAGAATCTTGAACGATTCCCTTCGCCCAAGCCTCAACGAACGGGCCCCCATTACTGCTTTTTATGGCCTTCCAGCTGACAATCCTCTGCGAACTGTGCTACCGACGCCTCCGGCTTTGCCAGCATCACTGGAATTCATTACAGCCCAAAAAGTAGTAAACATTGAACGTCTCCTACAGTCCCTGGACAACATTCATCGAGACGTCGCCGAGCATCATACGCGAAGACAGCAATCTTGTATCGAGAAGCGCAACAGTCGCACTGGCGTTCGGGCTGTCAACCTTGACGTCGACGATTTTGTCCTCGTTGCTGGCAAAGCAGGGAAATCGTCAAGAAAGATACCTGTTAAATGGAAGGGCCACAAGCGAGTTATTGGTTGACAATCTCCCCTGGTCTACGAGATTGGAGACTTGCTCAATCCCCTAATCCCCTGATCACACCATCTGCCAAGTGCATGCCGACCGCGTGAAGTTTTACTCGGATTATCAGTTACATGTTTCGCCGTTTTAGGAAGCTACCATTTAGAGTTTTGAAGCTTGTCACTGTCCATTTAAGACTAGCTCCCGAGGTAAACAAGGGGGCAGAGAACTCGCACCTCTCAAGCACAGAAGTTGCAAACATATTGTATTGATATCTTCGAAACCAAAACGCCTCTTCAGAAAGACAACTGATTATTTAAAACCCAGTACATTATTAGTCAATCAGTGTAGTTAAAACTGGTACTGCAATGTTCTGCACGATTTTATTACCGAGGACAAGTACGTTAAGGAATGTTTGTCTAAATAGTTGAGGCAAATCGCCCATCGTCCAGCCTGGTCTAATAGACGTCTATATACTAGACTAGTTAGCTAGACACTAGTGTGTATGTCGGTCAAAGGCCATCAGGAGTGAAAACAGACGAATGTTTTTCTTTTTTTTGATCGATTTTCTACACTATCTATCTTATTTTAAGTGATAACAATTTTTGCGGCAGCTTCTTGGTCTACCCTTCCCAGAGGGCTAAATGTGGGACGCATTTTGCTGAGCAGAACCCAGACGCTAGGAAAATCACAAAATCAGGCATTCAAGACCTTTGAGAGGTCAGCATATCTGTTCCAATGACTCTGCGCAAGTCCGATTGTCATCTGTGTCCACTGATTCTCTCATATAATCGATTACTCCTCTTCATGGAATGGAATTCCAACACTTAAAAGGGCTTTATTTGGGACAATTTATTTCTCAAACACCACTATTTGTATTTGATAAACTGAGCAACACATTAGCTGCATTCCCGAGTGAGACCTCGGGATGTTGAACGGTGCTCAATTCTGTCCCAACTGTGACTATGACATGCGTTTTGCGTCTCTTTATAGCTCTGTGCGCTTCCATCTCTGCCTGCAAGAGCGCTGGCCTGATTCGCACCTCCTCTTTCATAACGCGAGTAGCCTCTTCCTTCTTCTCTTTTTCCTCAAGAATCCTCAATCTCTCTTCGCGCGCTATCAATTTCCTCTCTTGTCCAGCCACGGCAACCACGTCCGCAGCCTCGCGCAGTTCGATTAGTGCCCCTACAGTAAGGCACTGCGATGGAGCGCCGCACCCCAACACTTTCTTCCTAGTCCCAGCGGCTGGTGTAGCAACAGGAACCGGTCTTATCTCCTGCAATATTGAGCTGACAGTATCCTGTTCCCTTAGTACTTTGTCAACTTCGCAAATGGCAGTTGACGGGTCCCTACTGTTCGACAAAATGCCTTTGATTTCTTCAAAGGTTTCCCTATGGCATATCCTCCTTCGCAAAGTACGCACCTATGTGTCTGCATCCCTGCCAGCCTGCTCTGCCGTTTCACTTCACCCCATGTTATGACCTCAAAACGATTACAGAACCTATAATCCATCGGCCATATCTCCGTGTTTACGAATGCATCTCTCAAATTTTGTTTGCTTACAGCAGCATATCCCGCAACCGCCAGCTTCAATTTAAAACCCATTGAGTGCACGTTCGTCAATGCCATTTTGAGGAGCTCGTAGCGTGTACTACGAACAGCGCCTTGAAACGACTTGTTAACTTTGTCGTCACAAGGCTGTAAAAATGAGTGGTATGGGCAGGAAGGACAACAACCTCAATGCCAAACTTTCCTGCAACCTCAATACATTCAATTCCATTTCTAGAGGAGTGGCCATCCAAAAACAGTACCACATGCTTGTGAGTGGGAACGAACTGCCGGACAAATTTGTTAATGTGTTCAAAAATTGGCTTCATGGTTGCCATATCCACAGAACCTTTTTCTGTACACCTGATGACAGCATCATTAGGCAGCCATACATGGTCTGCAAGCCAATGCAGAACGCCGTTCAGAGATTTAAAAAACTCTGCAGGTAAAGGATAGAACCACGCATCCATTAAGTTCTTTCCCGCAGCAATGGCGAACAGTGGCCCGAGATGCCCCGAGGTGGCGCCCACCAGCACTGCCGTAAGGTGCGTCCCGGACCCTTTTTGAGTGGATATGAAGCCTCCGTGATGAGACTTGGATGACAAGAAACGTTTCGTTCTATGACCAAACTCACCGTCAACGTGGGTCTCATCTATGTTCCAAAGACAGAAGGGGTCTTCAAAGATACCAGGGTGGCGAGAGGCAATCTATTTCAGGCAGTAAGAAAAGGAGCTGACAAGCCGAAAATTCTCCGCTTTCAGCTTCATGGCATCTTTATTTACACCCTTTCCGTACGTTAGGTCACGATTCTGCGCGCGGTATGTGCGAATGGCAGCATTAGAAGGGGTTTCATTGGCGTAGGAAGTTTTGCCATCCGCCGCAATGTTTCCCAGAGAACTTTTGAGCGTGATAAAGTCAGCGACAAACCTATTTCAAGCTGCAAATTTGATGCGGTTGCTCAGAGCAGCTGCTTCCTCAGGTGTCCAGACTGTGTGGCGACCTCTTCTGTGGTTACCGGGGTTCATCAATTTGTCCAGTGTTTTTTTATCGCCATTCACTACGGTTTGGCGAAGCCTTCCTACTAGCGATTTGGACAAGTTGCAAGCCATCGCCACCTGGCGTATCTTGTTTTTTTGTGCCAACATTTCGACAGCCGTGTGTCGTTTGACCCTAGCATCTTCATCACGGCGCTGCCTCTCCTCAAACAAAGCGGTTTGGCGTCTCATAGAGGTTGGCATTTTTGTGATGGCTTCCCTGTGCCAGCATCAAGCTGCTGCTGATCTGGGTACGGTCATGTATTTGTCCACCAAAAATGGCGGGTGAACAGAATGGGTAGAGCGTTCTGGTTTAGTGGTGGACAGAGCAGTCATAGACGATTCACATGGTGCCACTTGTGTAGCGTTTAGTGGACATATGCC